GGATGCAAGTGAATTTGCAGTTTATTTGTGAGATGCTAACACTTGAGGTGCTAGCTTCACACACGTGTTAAGACGTGGATTACTTATAATTAAATAAAACTCAAAATTTTGTACACTGGTCTATTACCTGTATAGTGTAAGTGACTTCATAGTATGGCGAATGATATGGAAAATCGATCCACAGTTTAAAGGGTAGAATCTTCTCTGTTTCGTTCTTCTCTTGAGGTTCTATTACAAACAGCAAAAAAATTTTTGACGCGTTGTAGAGCGTCGCTTTAAGTGATAGTTCGAGAAGTAATATTCGTCAATACGCGCGTCTATAAAGTTGGGATGACATTCTACTCTAAAAAAATACTAAGAGACTTAAAAGTTCTATGATAGAACTTTTCCTATATTACAAAATTAAAATAAAAAAAATGCTAACTTCACGAATTTAGCACGTACCTTCTCCTCTAAAGCATCAAAACGTGTGCTAGTTTTGCAAAGTTAACACATTTTTTTTCAATTTCGATTTTTTAATATAAGAATTGTGAAATCTTTTTAATGTTTATCAGGAACTGTAGAACTATAGAAAGTGCTGTTAGAACTCTTAATGTTTTTTAAATTTGTATTTGTAAAATGTCGCGCCAACTTTACACGTAACACGCGTAAGCGTCAATACAGCGTAAGCGGAAACGAAAACTATACCGAAGAAAGGTGCAAAGATATAATTGAAAGTCGCGACGTAAACAACGAATATAAAAGTGTAGACCATAGTCATCCCTAGTTTATCGTATTCTTCCAGGATTTTAGCGCCAGCCTCGTCGTAAGTGACATTCCAGAAATTTTCTTCAGCGAAATGAATCAAGTCCATTATCATGTCACGGTAGAACATGAAGCTACCTAGCTTCACCAGTATCATTATTAGCAGCAACGTTGCACACAAGTTGGACGTAACAGCCTATGAGTAATAAAACTACCAAGAATTAAATAATTCCTGACCCCCATATGAACATTCTGACGGTGTTGCAAATTCATAAATAAACAGATGTTGAAAATAATATAGTTTTATCGAATTTATATTTTTTACTATAATTGGCATGTTATTATAAAAATAACTTATTAATTAATTAACGGTATTAGTAAAATAGCAATTGAAGATTTAGTATAAAAATGAGAAAAATAATAATTTCGCAGATAATTTTGATCTTTTATTTCTCATGTGTATTTATTTAAAAAAAGTATTTCACATATTCTATAAATATTCTCATAATTGGCGTTAAATCTTACTACGATGTTATTAACTTTAGTACACAACAAATATTTTGATAGAATAAAATTATTAAAAAAGAGTACTTATAATAACTTACAACCTTAGTTATTTTTTATTGTGATTGATCTAATTAAATAGTTACATAAAATTTTTAGTTGACGTAAGATACATTTTTCTCATACGTGCTTTCACATGCACTCATACACATCTACACACATACACGTGCCCACACTGCACACACAGAGTATCAGAAACTTCCCAATTATACTTTTCCAATTATAACAGTTTCAATCCATCGGAATGAAAGAAAAATAAAAATATTAAAGCAAAACACACACGTTTCGCTACCAAAACTATGCATTCGAAGTGCATTGTCTAGATTTCTTTTCTCGAAACTAAATTGAGGATGTTAAATGTTAACTGGTCTTATACGCGTTTAACAATTTAAAATAATTCACAGTAAAACTTGAAATAAAATTGCACTTTAACACCAAAATAAAATAAATTCAAGACTGTAAGAACCGCGTGGTGCTTCTATGTCCGTCGAGGGTGAACTGTGCGAAAGCGATCGCCGCGTCACTCACGTAAAAGTCGCCTATGCAGTGATACAGATCAACGCCCTCGACGAGAATGGCGAAGACGATCGCCCAAACGGCATAGCCAAACGCGCCGCGCAGGAGCAGCCGTTCCCGCGGTGTCTCGACATACCAGAGTCCAACTACTTTCATGAAGAGCCGCGTAATATTCACCGATCGGTACTCCTTACTTCGCGTCATGCCGAAACCTCGTCATTTTCTTACGCCGCCACGGCCTTAAGTGCCATCCGAATGGCCGAGCCATTTCAATATAAGTGGAAGCCCATTATGCTAACAAGCAGGAAAATTGACGCGCAATTGACTTACCTCGCTCTGGGTGACAGGCTGTAATCGTACGCGTCTCCTTTGCCGAAGGCGATCAATCGGCGATGTATGCACTAAGTTCAATCTCCGCTGGACAATGTGCTGTGGCCCTTTCTGTTCGCCGCTTCCGTCAGTGGCCCGACTGCAAGCTACCGAACCTCACCGCAAATTGGACGTACGTCTACTTGCGACGTACAAGAACGATATTGAGGTAATAGTATTTGCAGACGAGCTTCAGCTGATTAATTATCGCGTAATAACTAAAGTTTTTTGCAAGTGCATAGATATAAATACAATGGATAAAATTCTTGTGGATTCGCACTCTTTTCGGACAATTTTTTTACGCGAAGAAAGAAAAATATTTCTGCGAAGTATTTCCATCGAAATAATTTTATTTACATTATTCCGTCAGAAAACGCCGTTAAAAATAAAATCGCGCAATCTTTGACATTCTATAATAAAGTATTACAATATTATATGTATATACCTTTATAGGTAAAGGATCGTATCTCGAGTTTTTGTCAAAATAGAGTTAATACACTTTTCAATATAACAGGAGCTTAAATTGTATAAGACGTTTATGTCTATTGTTACTAGTTCTTAGTTCTACAATATTAGAAAAAGTCGTATTGAAAATTTTTTTAGTACCTAATTTTTAAACCAGATACAGCGTGTTATTAACAGTTGCACTATTAAACATGTCACATTAAAAACTTAATAAATCAAGTTGCTACTTTTATTTTATATCTAAAGAAAATATCATTTTCCTATTTAAAACTTTAAACCTTGTTTTCTTGAAATGTTCAAAAATGGACACAATCCTTTACCTCTAAGGTACAAATATATTTTTTATATATTGCATATACATAATTGTATATTTTGAAATGTCTATAGGATTATAGACTTTCAAAAAGATATTTTAATGTACTAAATATTTTTAAGTTCTTTCCTCTCAATGTATTTCTTATGTAATTTTAAATTCCCTATTCGAGCACTTATTCCACGAATTTGCGAAGCAAGGTGAAGTAGGATGCCGCGGTGCTCAACACCTGAAGGAAAATAAAAATATTGTCGCGTTGCGGAAAGTGTCTGCCCGTAATCGTATATTTCTACGTCAGATTTACCGCCATAAACGTCTCGAGAGACACTGGGAAGAAACCGCCAGCGGATATGGAGCAAGCACGTGCCGATCGCATCATGATCATCAGGATGGCTCTCCTGATTTTCCTGTCCTCCTCGTGGGATAAAACCTGCCAATTGGCGTTGTAAGCCGCGTCTCCGACCGCGCGGCTCTCGTCCATCAAATCATTCGCTGTCAGCGTGACCACAAACAGTTGGTAAAAGCAGCCGTTTGTATGGGCGATGAATATCAGTCGTCTGACGAGAGTACCGCGGGCCTTTTCCAACAAAGACGCAGACGCGTGGAGAAGGTCAGCGAGTAACGCAGGTAAGCTATATTTACGCGCTCATATTTCTCTTACGTTACCTTCACTTATCTAACATCGTTATGTGAGTAAAGAGTTCCGTACGTCTTCCCTCCCTCTCTCTCTCACACACACATTCTCTCTTATTTCTCTTGTAGCACAATTAAGCGTAGATACTTACCAAAAACACCTGAAAGCCCGCGACGCAAAGCATGACGCCGGACACTAACAGCTGACAAAGGGTCGTGTACATGAAAATTTGTTCCATTTTCTCACTGTACCAGATCAGCTCGTGATGCACTACGACGCATTCTTTGATCTTTTCGTATACTCCCTGCCTCTGTTTCTCGTCGAAAGATCTTACGGTACCGGCCCGTTCGACTCTATCGAGGATGGTTCCCAACTGGTGTTGCAGAATTTTGAATTGGCCGGCAGTGTGCAGGTTCAATAGACCCAAGAGATTGTCGAAGCAACAGAAGCATACGCCACAGTGAACGAGCACTGAAAGCTGTAAAATCACACACTTAAAAAATGATTTATGCTGTTTGATATGCCAACAATAAAATGCTACCTCGAATGCGTACAAATCAATGACATAGCTACTAGTTCTCAAAATTCTTAAAAAACTTAATTAACATGTAAAGATTTTTTAATCCTAATAACTATCATTTTTTAATCGTCATGATAATACGACCATCGGTTTGGGAAATTACATCAATTTAGAAAGGTCAAAATCTATGGTCAAAACGTCTTGACGATTAACTGACCAAAACCAATTATTGTCATGACGATTAAAAAATGCTGTTAATTATTCACTGGCGAAGTAAATGTTAGTTATTATTCACATGGTTTAATTAACATGACATCATGCATGTCTTAACAGAGTGTCTAAAAAATTAATACAAAATCGAACGTTCCTATACTATAATACAATTATGGAGAACCACATGCTGCATTACCTCGATAGTAAATAATATTTCAAAGTTAGGCGAGACGGTTGTCGGAATTCCGATCCAGAGATTAAAAATAAGCATTCTGTCGCTCTCGTTTCTCCCGATATTTTCTATAAAAATGTAACGTAAAAGAGAAATGTGATATCCCTGTCTGCGCAACAATGTTACGAACAAAAGTGCTTAGTACCTGAACTAAGATTTGTACCGTTCGTATATTCTATTCTCTACTAAATTGGCGATGTAAATTTAGATTCAGGATACCGATTATAGGAGACAGCAAATAGGTGAAAACGGTTCCTTGTACGAAGAACGTAAACGTGCACATTAATATAATTCCCTTTTTATTAATCTTTTCCATAACCTTGCTGCCGTACTCGTCGTATTGGGCGTACCAAAAATTATCCTCCGTATATCTCAGCATATTCAACATTTCTTTTCGATGACGAAGAAAGAAAAATATCTTCATCAAAATTATGATTACCGGCATAGAGCTGCAAGAAGTATACGTGATGGCCTAAAACGTTAATATAATTTTTGTTACTAATTTTTTACTTTTCATAAAAATTGTATTACTGTATAAGCAAGTAATTAAGTTTATATTAATTACAAGCAAAACATAAACTTAACACATAAAAATTAAAACTAATAAAAATAACGAATAATATAACTCGAATCTAGAGCTTGTTATTAAAAGTTATTTATATATTGTAAAATTTCAATTACTGTTACACAAGCAACATTTATTTTATAGTCCTCCCCCCCCCCACACACACACACACCACACCACAAAGTGATAGTTTTTCCTCGTTTATTATTACATTACAAATTTTGGTACTTACATAAAAGTCACCTTTACCTAGGTATAATTCGGTTGCTTCTATCCACAAAGCCATGACAACCATGCATATTGTATAAGTCAAAATTCCATTCAATAATCGTTCCTCAGTTTTCGACTTGGCGGGCCAGAAACCGATAACCTTCATGAGAAACCTCGCTAGCCGTATCGATATAAATTTATCCGTCTTCTTCACGTTTTTCATCATGCTCCGACCGCCACTCCAGCGGTTATACTGTATTAACGAGATTCGTGGTATCGCACGCTGCAATGATACATATAAGAGATACGTAATAACAGGCATGCATCACGGTAATCATGGCACGATCTTTGATCGAGTTATTTTCCCGTCTATTACTTCAGCCTGTTATCAAGCCAGTCGTATCAGAGGATAGGAGGGACTGCATTATTACGGGGTACACACCCTCCTCCTTTCTCGCGAAGAGGAACATGCAATGTTAATGCATCCGTGCCGTCGACGAACTCCGTAAGTATCTCTATATTTAGATTAAAGTCGTTTTATTCACCCCTGCGCGCGAAGAGCGATATACGGGGAAATAAAAAAAAGTACGTTACCGCACACAGCCTTCAATCTTTTCTTGCAGGTGCTATGTTCACAAGAGATTTTATATTCCTAAAGAGAATTTTTTTTCCCGAGGAAGTAGGGATTAGAAAATGTGGCAAAAAAAATCACGCAATAACACAGAACGTTCTCGCAGAAGCAAAAGAATATCAGTCGACGATTGTGGTTACTAGAGATCGTACCTCGTACGTTTTGACGTAACGTGTTAATATGTGACATAACGATTCGAGCAATTCGTATGGTAAGTTCTTCTAAAACAACAAATGTGTGTGAATTTTAATTTAATAGAGATCTTATTAGTGCAAAAAAGTTAAATTATAATCGTTACTGTAGATTTTATAAATGCTATTAGTGAGAAAGTTGAGAAAAATACAAGATATCTATAAATTGCTATTTAAAGCAACTTCATCTCGCTCTGCAGTCTTCGATTTAAGATAGAAACAATTTATGTCAAAATAGAGGGATGAAGCTGAAATTTACAGAGATTGTGCACTTATATATCCCAGAAACCTGGGTTAAATTTGCGATCGATTGTCTGATCCGTTTCTGAGATATTTGCTTTAAAGTTACAGAAATTGTATATATATAGATATACTTTCCATGTAAATATCATCATAATATGTATCTCTGCTCCTTACAGTAAAAATGAATGAAATTTTTATGGTACACTTCTGTGACATCGAGAATTGCAATTGCGGTTTTTTAAGTTTTTCTGTTAATATATTTTTTTCAATTTTTTAATGATTTATTTAAACAATATCAAGTACAAAAATGCGATTTTTACGCTTTTTCTGTTCCAATGATAACATGTTGTTTATGAATAATTTCTGAAACTAGCTTTACACTGTTTAATCAAGAAAACAAAATTATATTACATATATGTATATAGCTATACGTAAAACATCCTTAAACTTGACTTTACATTTTACAATAATTTTCAGTTACAAAAGAAAAAATTTAGATAATTTATATAAGTTACAAAATGACAATCAGAAAGTTGTTATTAAACTATGCACTACTCTGTAAAAAAATTTTGTTTTTTATTAACACATTGACATCCAACGATCACTTTGTATACTAAATAAAAAATTAGATATGAATATAAAATTTATCATATAAATTAATACTTTAATAAATATTTATAATCTATTTAATTTTGAATATGTAACACAATTATACCTTTAGACTTTCTGCACATATTTTTATATTTTGATGAAATTTAATAATTCTAGAAATTAATTCCTCATATTTCTCCTCTTTTATTAATAAAACAATTGCGCATTTCTCTCTTTTTAAGTTAATAACTCGCGAAAATAATGGTCAGGATAGGAACTAGGAGAATTATATAAAAGCATATACACAATGGAGATATTTTATTATATATATAATATAATATTTAATATTATTTTAATGTGTTCTTTTCTGAGAAAATAAGTATACTTATACTCGCAACTCGATACATTTTAGCTACGTGGGACGCGGTTCGGCGTTACCACGGCATCCCCTATAAAATGACCAGCGAAGTGAGGGAAATTAAAATGTATTGCTAATTCGAACAGTGGACAGAGAAACCTGCGCCTCGGCTGGCAGGCGTGATAACGCCAAATCGCCGGCTGTTTACGTACCATATACATATACATATATATATTCAAAACATACACAACAAACGATGACTATGGCCGGTATTCATAATCAGATCTTATTTCAAGACCGTCTTAAGTAATGCTAATACGGTTATTTGATTGGCTAGACGGAGTCTTAAGACTGCTTTTGACCAGACTTAAGACGATCTTAGATATAAGATCCGCGACTATGAATACCGCCCTATCTTTCGTGGTATTTACGTATTCGTCTTAACGGTAAGTATTTTCGTTATTTTTATCAATAAGTTAGATGGGTAAGAGTCATCGACATTGGTAACATCTTTTGGTTGGTACATTACATACATACTCTGATAGGATGCTAAACACTTATCGGCGTCACTTGCAATTTTCTTACCTTCTAGTATGTTTCTATTATTTCATTGTTATACAGATAACGCGCCGCGCTTATCCATATAACCGCGTAACCGTCAATAAAATAAAATAACAGGAAAGGAAAAAGGATGGCATATCGTTCGATGTTATGTAGCTTAGAAGATTCAATATTACGGCCGTGTTGTAAAGCGTGAGCTCAAATTGGATCGCCAGTATTTGATTTTTATTCGGTAACGCGTGCAACAAAAAGTCAATTTGACTATGCCATATACGCGTGCAAGTTTTCAAAAGCGATATTTTACTCTTTGTATGCGTTGTGTGTGTAGATACCCAGGTAGCAAGCACATATCATTTTGACGTCAAATACTAGTCATGTTTGTACAAATGACGTCAAATGACCAAAAAGCGACTGTCTTTAAAAAGGACATTATACTGACGTCATTCCATAACGTCATTATGATGTCTATTTTTAGTCATTTTTTATCTATGACAGCGACTAATAATGGACGTTTATAAGACGTCATCTCTTAGACCATTTTAAAGACGTCTTAAAGTCGTTCAAATAAGGTCTTTTTGTAATATAACTATTTTTACTTCTTAATATTGTATAATAAAGTAATAATAAAATAAAAACCACAAAATTAACTGCAATATATGTTTGTTCCGCAACTTTATGATTGGAGTGGTGAATTTATGGTATAAGTGGATGTATAATAGTTGCGTGTGATTATATAGTTTTATGATAACTATTTCATGCAGTGTTATAGCTATCAAAAAGATATCATTACAAGATTTTTGAACACTTTAAAGATGTACCTGTTATAGACAAGTACAGTTAATAAGGAAGCATCAGAGTCAGAAGATCGTCACTGTCCACTGGATCATCGAAATCAAGCGATACGGGCGCGGTACTTGTACTACACGTAAGAAACGATACGTATAAAGAAACAGTTTAAGAAGCGTTTTTTTCCTAGATAAAGAAAAAGGACGTTTTTTTAATAAACGTTTATCAAGTAGACATTTTAACATTTTAATTTTATAAATAACATTTCTAGAAAGCGGTATGTCGTACAATGAACCTATTTTTGCCGTCAATAAGACGTCAGAAAATGACGTCAATTGTCTGTGGCATTAGACCGTCATTTTAACGTCATTATGCCGTTAGTTAGTGACATCAGGAATGGTCAGTAAAGGACCAAAATTTGACGTCAAAATGACTTGTGTTTGCTACCTGGGTATAATATCATTATCAGGTCAGTACAAAAAGTTCTTTCACTAAATTCCATTTGAAATAAATTTAATTTCTTTAATTACTGGAAAAAAAGAACTTCTCCACGCAGAAGAAAAGTTTATTGAAGCTGACGATTATGTTAATTAATAAAAATTAAATCTAGTTTTTATTTCGACAAACACGACAATCTTCTGCGTCTCCTTTTGCACGAACCTAATAATTTGTGATTATGGTGAACGAGTAAATATAACGGTTTTTTTTGCACAAATCTTTACAGTATTTTTATACAAAGAGCAAAGAAGGTGTTTGAAATGTATAAAAACATCACTTAGCTACAAATGATGTGCATTTCTGATATCTCGACGTGGAAATCTCGCTTGTATACCAAGGCTCTGCCGACATTATTAAACACGCTTGGCCAACTCCTGCGTAACCGTTACTAATAATATACCAATGACCGTAAATACGTCCTATCAATTAAACGCTTAATTATCGTATCCCGTGTCCTGCTTAAGATACACGAGATTATTATATACCTAAGAATAACAGGGAGTGTCTCGCGAACGATTATAAAAAATTGTATAACAGAATGCTTATGTCTACGAGAAACGCTAGTTCATCTTTATCGCCTTCCCTCGCATATCTCACGCGCTATCAGAAAAAATAGGCTCACGACGATGGATTAACCTTTAAGCGTCGGCTTTAGATATACTCTACGCAATTTTCCCACCGCCTCTAGGAATTAATTTTAGACGGTATCTTCAACTCATCTCGAGGTATCCCGTAAACGATTCACAATATCAGCAAACACATTATACAAGCAATTTTATGATAAAAGCACCTTTTTAATGAAATGCTCCAACGACACTTTGAAGAATAATATACCTCCTTCTGTTATTGAAGTAGTATTTAAAAAAAAAATTATTATTAGTGCGATCCATTAAACGTGCTTTTGTCATTGATCAAATGTATAAAATATTTTTCGATGTTTTGGATGATTAACACTAATGAAACATTATAATTATCGAATTATTATTTTTGGAACCACTAATTTTTTGAACGCTTATCGACATGACTCGATTTTAAATGCGTGATTTGCGTTTCTGAATTAGCGTAATGTTCAAACAAAATGATTGTATGCTGGGGATCAACGCTAAGTAGAAGTCTGCGATACACGCGATACGTTAATTGTTATGATATAAGTTCGCTGTATTTTGTAACCTAGTTACGTTTGATAAAATCCCTGGCAGACACCAGCAGTGTACTTTGTCCTACGTAAAACGTGTTATCGGGAATGTTTTAAATGAATATTATCCATTCAAAGGGAAAGTGTTATTAACAACAAGATTTGTTTTTGTCGCGATTAAGGCGTGATCATGAATTTCTCGAACACATATTATTACATTGATTACATATCATCACATGATGAAACGTATTAGCGTCAAAATGAGTGAGGCAGATTCTCTCACTGGATATCGATGTTTCAAGAATCACTAAAAAGACATGTGTCGACCACTTTGATGTCCGTATGAAGTACAAAATCAGTTTTTAGACTGATCATCATTTGCTTAATCTTTAAGAAAGTATCTCAAGTTCTAGAACTTGAACTTTGTCTTCTAATTCTTGTTTGTGTGTAAACTGATAAATAATTGAAGGCATTGATTTCAATGCGAAAATATTTCTTTTTATTTCTCGTGTTCTTAAAATCTCTTAAGTAATCAGTAAAATCAATTAACATTATATGTTCCGGAAACCAAACGAATAAATCTAAAAAAAAGTAAAGAAGAAGAGACACTCGTCATTAATAGTGTTGAACTTTCTTTACTTTCTTCACCAGAAGACTTATTAAGAGTTAATAAAGGGGATAACCGCGAATAGGATTAGTGAATTATTTTTTCATAGCGTCCGGAAACTTTCTTATTGCCCCTGGTGACAGAACTTAAGCGCGAATTGGGCCGGTAAATGTTCGAGTAATTCTGTTATTCGGATAATTAGATAAAACTTGAGGTTTCCAGTAAAAAAAATAGTTGAATATTTCAAGTATCTGAATATCAAGACGTATCATACGTTTTCTTCGAATATGTACAAATAGTCTGTGTTAAATTGGTCAAAAGTATCACAAATCTAATAAATATGGAAATATATGTACCGCAAAGTTACAGTACCAGTACAAATATGACAATAATGCGACCATCTGAAAATATGCATGATATTCGACGTACTCGAATTACTCGACTATTCATTTCATCTCAAATAGAATTATTCGAATCTGAAAATCGAATTGCAGTAACATCTAAATGTTCAAAGTACCAAGATTTCAAATTTACTTTACATAGCTCTATTATGAACGTTTTTCTTTACATTTATTTGTTACAACATCTCGCATGCATCTAATTTACAAATGCAACAAACAGTTCTCATTCTGCTAATTGAAACGTTTATTATCTTTAAATAAACAATTTATCGTGAACAATTACTCAATGCAGCTCTCAAAAAAGTCAAACGCAGAGATATAATTTTCCCAACAGATTCACGTTTTGTCAGTTGCTTTGTAATCCTGTAAACAAAGGCTTCTAAAAGTTACGAAAGTCCGTTAAAATGTGTGCGTATAGAATCTACTCCACGCGTGCGACAAAGATCGATAATCAATAATGGTAATTAACAATCTACGGCATAAAACAGATCCTTGACGGAACGAACGTTAACCCTGGAACGTGTGTAAACGTGTGCAAGTGTCAATGTGTATTTAATAACGTAGCAACAGTAGATATACATATAATACGTACATACATGCAGACAGAGCGGATAGGCTTACGTTTGATCCTTACATGCATACTACTGTGAATTATATCATGCTCGTACACTTAATTACTCGTTACACGTATTCGCCATTTCGTATATGTTGAATTAGCTGCGGCATAAAATTATCGCCAGGTATTGCAACCGACATAATTTCGGCGTGAATCGCCGATGTTACACACGTACAACGAACAACATCTTGCATCAACCTGTGTGTATGTTTCATCATTAGACATCTTTTTGCGCGCGAGCGCACGTATATACATATGTATATGTGTCTATAGCATCAAAACTTGAACCTAGCAAAAAAATCTGTATCAATTTCAAATCCCGATTGTTCCTACGTTTCTCCAGTTAATTGCCGTCACTGCTGGCCGCGTTTCACTCGTGTCGTGTGTCTCTCTCCCGCTCTCCCATCCTATTTTATTATCATTGTTACACTTAATCGCCACCGACGGATATGAATTGGAAATAGACTCGATGGCCTTGTAATAATTCTGCAGTGTTAAATCTACAGTTGCTCTCGTATAAAAACCTTACGAAAATAATTGCTCTACCGTAAAATCCGACAATTCGCTTACAGCGTTATACCATCTTATACAGCTATACAAGGATTCAAAGTAATCCCGCTGCCCCTAGGGGAAAAAACGCAAGAGCCGATCGTCGCGGCTCTTAAAATGTAACGAGTAGGCAATACGATCGCTCGGTCGCGCCGCGCGTTACAACGCGCGCGAAAATCCGCGATCTGATTGGCGGGTGCCAAATGGACAAAGTAGGACGCTCTTTTCCTTTTATCGTTGACAGATCGTGTGTGGCGAAATAACCAGTCGGGACAAGCGCGTGATAAGCGTTGTGGTTTCAGAAGGCTATGGAAATTGCCCTCGGACAATCCGGACAAATCTTAGATGTGCAAACGCAGTCTGCGGACAACAAAGCTCGAAAAAACCCTGTCAATTAATCCAGCAAGAACTAACAAACGCCTGATGATAACAGTACAATGATACATTCTATTTCGAATCAAACCACCACTTGGTCACTTCCGATAATACAAGAATTACAAGAAATCCCTTTAAAAAAAACGCCCAAAGGATGTCAAAAAAGGAGATGTTTCAGACATTTTATCTCACACAAATTACATTTTTTTTTCCATATCCTTAGCACGAGTCGCAAGAAAATAATGACATCGCTCGGACCACAAACAAATATTCCCGATTAAAGTTTCGGTAAGAAAATACACGTATATAATCCTATTATAATTTTAATTATAATTAATTATAATTTTTAATTATAATTTAAAGTATGTGATAAATTGCATGTGCTTATGTGTTTACAAAGATTCAATTAACTTGTTACTACCCAAATTAATTGTTTTTTCTTTCTACTCTATATAGGATAAATATATTATAGGATGCGTTAGAGAATGGCGTGAATCATAGTAAATCTTACGAGGAAATCAACCATGATCTATCGATTAATATTTCCTCTCTGTCCTTCGTAATTAAAATACCACATTGATAACAATCTGCAAATTATTGTATGCTCGCTCGTCTCACTACGAATTTATGTTATCTAATCGCGATTTTTGGTGCAACTGGTGGTCTCAACGTGTATACGAATAAACCCTGCGGCATACGATACCGGATACACGCGTAGCTAATGCCAGAATGTTACGCGATTTATTTTACCAACTCTCATGCCGTCCGAAGACCGCTCGCGCGTGAATCAATGTGGACCGAAATCGAATCTTACACTATGCTACGCCTTCCGCCGTGTTCAATAAAATGCTATGTTAATTGGTGCACATCACACACCTCCACTTCTATCTCCTTAATTACGCAGGTATCCCGAGGACCGCGCGCGGCTTAATTGTTTGTCATGACGGAAGTGCCGTGTGTCTACTGTCAAGAGACTCAACCCATATCCGCGCTCACGCGAGTCATCATTCCGAAATCATCGCCACTCACCGCTGTCGCGCTAATTACATACTCGACACACGAGGGTGCGTGCATCCGGTCGCAAACTCCGTCCCGCTTTACATTTAATTGGTGGACTTAACTATATTCTTCGTTTAAACCGTACCGTACAAATATCTCGAACATAGAAGAAGGTTCTAAGATTCATTGAAGCGTAAATCCCGTCTCCTGGATTATCTAGAAAGCTACCTCGTCGTGTCGTTAGGCGAAACAATTGCACAACCGCGCGCGCGCAGCGGCGAACTCGTCTTAACAGCTAGAATATATGACGCGTATACGCAGTGGCTAAACATTGTGACAAAATCCAAATAACAACGTCTTTCGTAAGGATAATATGGCAGGGCGACAATAAGTGGTCTGCCGGAAAAGGCTTCTTTTTCTTCTCCCGCACTCCCGTTTCTCCGTTGACGACTTCCGGCCCGAGTAACAATCGTGTCGATCATCCACAGGATGACCCGTAATTCTCGGGCTGGCTGACCTCGGCCAGATTTCAAAAGGCCACCGCGTTTCTTCTTTCAGGTTCGTTCACCGTCGATCGGGTATATCAAATCTGCACAATAAAGCGAGGTCATCTCAGGGCACATTCCTCGCGCTCACCTTCGGCTACAATTAAACGCCGGTGTGATTGAATATGTAGGAAACGTTGCTGTCCTGGTGGACCGGCGGTCCGTGCCAGGCGCGTCTCGTCGACGAGTTGTTGTTGTTGTTGTTAACGTAGTAAGAGGACTTTCTCATGCTCGTCGAGGAGGACATCATTGCGACGGTCTCGTAGTACCTGATCTTGCCGCAGCACCGGCCGCTCTTCAGGATGGCGATGAAGCCGCGCCGGTATTTCTTGTTGAAGAAAGCGTAGAGGATCGGATTTATGCAGGAGTTGCTGGCGCCCAGCCACTGGGCGATCGGCGTGGCGATCGGCAGGATCTCGTCCTCCCTCTCCGCCACGTCGCCGCCCAGCTTGATCACGGCGAAGATTACGTAAAGAGGTAACCATGAGAGGACGAAGAGTATCACGACCACGACCAACATCTTGACCACCTTCACCTTCGACTTCTGCTGTATCCTCTCCATCTGGGCGTCCTTGGTGTCGCCGGGTATATGCCTACGCCACACCTTGATCCAGATGAGAACGTAGCAGAGGGATATGAGTATCATCGGCAGCACGTAGCAAAAAGTCAGATTGCCAATCAGGAAGAACAGCGAGCCATCCTTGGGATGCGGCCACGTTTCCAGGCAGAGACGCAGGTCGGGATCGTCGTCGTAGATGGAGACCAGGTCGAAGAACAGCAACCAGGGCGACGTCATTGTCAGAGCGATGAACCAGATCACGACGATCATCATGCGAGCTCGCCGTTTCGTGATTTGACATTTTAGCGGCCACCAGATCGCCAAAAACCTGAAAAATATAAACCCCAAGAGTAATTAATTACTATCAATCACTTTATTCGTAAAAATTTTGTAAAGATGAAAATTGTTAGGCAAATTTTTATAGGCATATATTTACCATACAAATTGATTAAATCGAAATTGGTGAAAATTTACTTAAAATTTTATAACATTTGAGGTATATTTAAAACAGGAATAATTCTACAAATATATGTTTGTTCGAGATATACAATTATTGGTCAGGATAGATAAACTGTATTGACATTAGCGGCAACTCCAAATTAAGTTACAATTTATCGTTAGCTTTTTCCCAGGGGCATCAGACCCAATACATTGGTCAGGATATATAAAACTATCGTACAAAGTTATTTGTAAGCATCTGCTAATTGACTTTTAACGTATCAATAAGATTTATTTGACATACCAAAGATCTTTGGTTCGACATCTCTTTTATTGAGATAAATAAAAACGATTTGTGTGTGTGTGTGTGTGTGTATGTGTGTAATACGTTGACGTTTTACCTTCCAATTTAATGTGATAAAACATCAAGAGAAGTATGTATATAATAGCTATCATTAGACTCAAGTAATAATCCAAATTTTATTAAACAATGATCGAATACGTCAAGCTTATCGCGAAAAAGCGAAGTAGCGCGGAAAGATATAAGAAGAGAGCAAAATCTCTCGATTAGACGACGAGGTTTTACTTACTATAGCAATTTTCTTGTCGGCAATAAACTTGTACCCCGCTGTAAATAGAGAGTACTTGCGTTACGTAATCGATCTGATTTATTGTACCGTGTGTCACGAAGAATGCAGAATAGCCATTTTACGGGCTACCAGGACAGGTTCGGCTGAGCCGGGCACGGGCGCCTACGCGAGCGTAGGAAATCGCGGAGCCCGTCGCGTACGGTCGTCGCCATTTTTAGGTCTTACATACGGAATTGCCAACAAATATTCCCATTCGCTATTTCGAAAGACACTCGCACCCGTCACGCTTCGACGAGCACGCCGCCGCCGAGCTGTGTGTAGAATAGATATGAGGAACACCTTTTATGCCGCACGAGAATTCTCGTTTGGCTTATTTAGGACAAGTCGGATTATTTTCAGAAAAAAATCTGTTTTCATTTGGTATCAACTGAGCTGATCACCTTTGAGCGAATAAATGAACTGTTTATTAACATTCGAAGGCAAAAGTCTTCTAAAGATCAAGGATGCGTTCAAAAGCAAAGCAATTGTAACTTCTGTTATAAAAATGTTTTGAGGCTTACACAATCTATAAATACAAAGCTTGTAAAAGAGAAAAAATAAGCGTAACATTGTCTATTCAAAGTCGATTATACAAATTATTGTCAAAGCCAATAAGAGCTGAATTTGCGAAGAGAAGGAAGTTTGGAGAGTTTTAAATGTCAGAAAGAAAAGGATATTGACATAATATATGCAGAAGAACAAATTAATTATTCGTTAAATTCTGTAGCCATACAAATCGCCCATATCTAACGATGAGAAGACGCGATAAAGATCATATAAATCGCTGTCGAAGCGGTTTGGAACACGCGGACCATCGATCATGACGACGCCGACAACGACGTCGCGGCGTTGCGGGATGAAAGCAATTGACGGTTCTTTCGTTTCTTATATTAATGGCGATGAAGCAAGAATTCAGATTCGGAGGAAATCCGCGCGTGGATAAGGCGCGCGCGGGCGTCTTTGTGATGCAAAGAAGCCATAAAAGCGGAATACTCATCGGAGAAAGAGGGGATACTTCTTTTTCCTCATTAATTAAATGGTCTCCCGCCCGACGGGAGAAACGTCGAATATACTATCTTTAATGAACGTTTCTCTCTCTCGCGACGCCCGCCCGTGCAGACCGTACAGCTTCCCGAATTCATTAAGTCGCCATTTTGCCGCTCGCGCCAACAGTTGCGGATTTTCCGCCTCCGCTGTACGCCGCCCTTCTCTCCGTCTTATCTGCGTCTTCGTCGTCGTAACCTTCGATTCAATGAATAAACTTTAAACACTCGTCGTCGTGACCTTCCATAAATCAATGCGGACGATACCGATCTGCAAGCATTCTCAAAAGAGCGCGCGGCGTCACTTCCGAGTTGCACAGCAACGCATATACGGTATACGCCGCGCAAGTGCGCTTAATGCGATATGTATCATAATATGAACAACGAACTCTCCCCCGAGCCTCGCGTCGGCTCGGCGACGAGGAGCAAGGCGGCGAGAAGATTGAGTTGAAAAAAAATCCGCAAACGCGGAAATGTAGCTCGCCCAAGGCCGCCTATATGGTCGCGTGGTGGGGCGAACACAATAAGATGATCCCGGAGACATGTATCTATATAAAAGGGATCGTTTTCCCGTAGTTGCAATCGCAGTATCGGTCAGTGTTGTCCTCTGTGTGTTCGCCAACAGGAATAAAGCTGATAAAACGCTTAACATGTTCAAACTGGCAAGTATATCCACCAGTACGCTCGTGCATGTTCGTTCGCCCACCTGTCTACAGTGTGATCGATTTGTTTCCGGCCGCGATACTTCCGCGACTTAATTCTCAAGCGTCGACACGGAGCGTTGCGTGCTGCATCATGTTTTTGAAAAATTCAGACGCCACTGCTACACGAAATTTTCATCGAGACACGGTCTTTAACGCGGTTTAAGATAAAGCTTTGTTTGTCGTTCCGAGTAGAATTCGGAATAAAATCCGGACGCTGAATGCATTCCGCGCCAGAACCAGCACCACGAGACTACAAAATTCTATGGAGTAACCGCTCAATTTCGCTAATAAACGCGTCGGCAGAGCACTTACGCCTCATAAATTCGTCGAGTTCGCCGAAATCGAGAACGCTCAGACACTCCGATCCGCGTGCGTAAAAGCGTCCGCGATCGATCCGCCCGTATATATAAATCCTTCTCAAAGCTGGAATCCCCCAGAGCGAGGAAAAGCGTTATTGCGAGATTACAGCGTCGTCGAAATCGAAGTGGAAACATTTCCGCGCGCGCGAAACTTCAGCGACACACGTCCGTGTGTCATGCGGATAATTGAATTACCGTGAAAGAGAAAAAGAAAAGCGTAGCGCTGTCATCGAGTCAAGGGAAAAAGGGGGGAAAGAAAAAAAGAGATCGGCGCTCTCGTTCTTGGCACGTGCGATCGTGTCGGTGATTAATTGGAGCGAGGTGATATCGAGCTCGCGGCGGGCGCGGTGGCAAAAAGCGGACCGATCAGGCGTCGCCAAAGTCATCCGGCAGCGCACGCTAAATGCGCCTCGCTTGCTCGCTCGAGCACACTCTCGACATTTTTCATAGCGCCCGTAAAAACCGTGACAAGGGAAAACGGGAGTAGGAAGGGGGAAAAAGGGTAGGTGGACGCGGGCAGACCCTGGGCGTGCGATTTAAGCGACGTGTCTCGCTTTCAAAAGCGTAATCACACCCTTATTGCTTTGCAGGTCCTGATAGCTATCGCGGTGGTAGCGGCCACATGCGCCCCGATGCCGGAACCGGCACCGGCGCCTGCTCCGGCACCAGGTCCCCTGCCACCAGGTTCCCTGCCACCAACCGCGTTGCTCGCCCCTGTTCCAGCGGTGGTCTACGCGCCTTTAAAAGTGTACCCGTATCAGCCGGCGTATCCTTTGGCGTATCCTTACAACAGCTACAAGTGGATCAACCCGGGCTCGCCGTACTCTTACTAAACATTGATTCGGGCTGTCCGGAGAATCGCTAACGCCATCGTGGTGCCCCTCGTATAACGCGATTCCACCGCAACGCGCCAAATGATTCTGTATCGTGGAACGTCTCCGAAATAAAATATTCTCTTGTCGCAAACGCCGCAGTGTGCTCGACTATGACAATCACCCCCCCTTCATCCTCCTATTCGCCCTCTTCCCCCCCCCCCCCCACCGACATCTCCCGACGTCTCCGTTAATTTCGCTCCGCGGAAAAGAGGATCCTCTCGTCCTGGAGCTTTTGGCAGACTCCGCGCTATCGAGCGGCCCATCAATTCCGTCCGTTTGTTCGCCGGTTGAAATTTATGAAACAACACGCGTTATACCGCATAATCGCGCTGTTCGCGGACAAGTAATTCCGTTTTAACCCATTATCCGCCAGCGATACATTTTCAGGGTAGTACGTTAAATTTTGGTCCCGCATTCTCTGCGGTATGCGCGATGCCGTAATAAACAATTCCGGACAAATAATGTGAAGCAAATATGAAACAGATGTGAATAGGAGTGTGTGAAGCAACAAGATTAAATGCTCATAACACGGGAGAGAGACATTTCTCTTCTCGCGGGATTTATTTTGCATCACTTTTCATCTTAATGAGCCTCAGCTCCGTCGTTAGATAACCTCAAGATATGTGAATGAATTAAGGCATAAATTACATGACAAAAACATGGAGAGAAAGAGGAAAAACACGAAAATTGAAAACAATGTAACATTAAAAATTCAAATATAATATTGTATGATATATGTTTCGTGAAATATTAAAAATCGTTAAACAAGTGGAAGATTATAACAATTTTTAACAAAAAAGCGATTAAATAATGATGATTTCCACATATTTAATGTGACTTCACTGTTCAGCAAAAAAAATGCACAAGAACGAGAATAATCGTTTCCCGTAGTTCTTTGGAAGCTGCATATCCTGTTTGCTAAATTGTTCTATTACGTCACAATTTTGAGAAATTTGCAGTTAAAATTGCATGCAAGAAAGGACTATTTTAGTGCATTTTGGCATATTATAATTACGATGTGTAACGTGTTGGAGAAGTTTTATTGCAATCAAAATTAAGTATGTTTGTTAGGACTTTCAGCCCTTAAAAGTTTGTTGAGAATCAATTATGATTAAAAAGATATTGATGATTAACATAGAGTCAAAGTTGTGATTATTAGGATCTATGAAACATTTTTCATTACTTTTTCTTCCGACTGCTGCCAACCTTTGGTTGGCGAAGACGAGGGAGTATGCGTTTTACCGAGGCCGAATCTTTGTTACCTTAGTTCTCGATAACTATAACATACTTTGATATGTGCTTCCGTATATAAGTTTCTTATTGATCAAGCAAGGTTTATAGCGTATAATTATTATCATTAACCGTTGTGTTAATAAAAAAGCGAAAAAACGATATATTACATTTACCTAGTGAACACAATGCAACATGTAACGTACAGGTTAGTTGTAATTTCCTACTCAACAATATAAATGCAATGTAACACGTGTGTTATATTATAGCCATTCACCTATAGATTAAAATGCAATTTGATTTTTTGATTTCAGATAAACCAGTCTGCCGGAATCGTGGGCACCGTTTTTTTTACATGGGTGCCATTCCGGTGATGTAACTCGCCATCGACGCTATATTTTTAAATAAAAAAATTTACACATATAATTTAAGATGTAATAAATATATAGTAAAAATTTGGAAGCTCTGTATTTTTTCATTTCGCCGCAAAAAAATGCAAAAAAAACCTTAAAAAAAACGGTCGTCACACGGGATGACCCCCTTAAATAGTTTATTAAATACAAAAATCTGCTTTAATGAAAATCACAACTTCAAAATAATACATTCAATTTTAATTACTTAATATAATCAGGATAAACTAATAAAATCTATTCAACGCACGCCACGCAATAATGTTAGGTATAATAAAGATATGTAACATATTGTCAGGAAAAGTTAATAGATTTATTAATCCAGTATGATGTTCTAACAGCTATAAAATTTGGCATGGCGTCTTCCGACTGCTCTTTTAAAATATGCAATTAATAAATATATCTATAATGCCTAATATAATAATAAGAAGAATAAATTGTAGTAAGTAATTAAGTATTTGTATATATTTTCAATCATATTTGTTATTAGATAATATTTCCTAATAGTGTGTCTATTGTATTAATATTTTATAATTAATATTATTCTTAAATTTTTAGAAGTTTTTAATTTTGTACTTTATACTTATTATTTTCTGCATTTAATTTTATACCTAGTTTAGGCAGCAGTCGGGAGTCTTTTTTTTTTAAACAATTTTTTTATTGTTTAATTTTTTTATATAAGTTTTTGTTTTTAACTTTTTTAAATGGTAGTTATTGTTTTTAAAATAATAATGTTTAATAATAAATAATGTTTAATGTTAAAAAATTTAAATTACATCACAATATATGGAGAGGTAAAAACCACAGTGGTGTAAGTCAATTTTTTAAAAATATTTTCTCGTGTGAATAGATACAATTTATATATTGTACAGATTGCATCTATGCAAACGAGGAAATATTTTTAAAAATTTGACTTACACCACTGTGGGTTTTTACCCCTCCATATATATTATATTCATCATTAGATCCTCTTTAGATTACACTATTTATGACCTTATATATTTCCCTTATGAAGACCTAATATAATTTTACAAAGGCCTGATTGTGATAACTTATAAGGGCCTTATAAAAAAACTGCGTTACACGATTACTTAGGTATCGATAAGGCAATAGTATCAGTTCCTGACAACTAAATCAAGCAAATATTATATGGTCCTTATTTGGACCCTAGTTTAATTTCCAGTCGGGATATCTTTGCCATACTATTAATGTACTAACAATTGGAGTAGGAACGCGCTTTAGAAATGTTTCTTAGAACGACGATTTGCTCAAATGAATTACAAATGTAAGCGTAACTTGCGTCAAAATAAAATTTGTTTAACTTTTATTAAATTCAATTGTCTACAGAAATAGAACATTAATGTATAAAGAAAAACAATGATTCTGTTTGTATGAAGAAAATATATATTTTATGTTTTTTTTAACTTTTTGGATTCTTTTAATTTTTGAAGTTTTAATTTTTGTTGTCTTTTCTGAATTGCGGCGTTATTAGCTTTACTTTTATCAGCATTATCTTCTATTATTTTTTTCATCATTTCGACAGCTTTTCTGTACATCCTGAACTATATCTACGTTCAAATTATCATCAAGATACTTTTCCGAGAATCCTTTCGGAAACATTGGCTTCGATAATAAAAATCGTAGTTGACTTTTCTTTGCCTTTAATTGTCGCTTCAACGCTGCTGCTGCTTCTTCCGATTCTGTCGATAAATAGCTAAAATAATCCCCAATATAAAATCACAATTAAAGTATTATCAAATTTGTAAATTGAAAGACATTGTATATAGTTAATTTTTTAAGAAGTATTAGAATTAAACGATCAGTTAAATAAAACTACTGTTCATAAATAATATAATTTTTAAATGTAACTATTTTGGACTACTGCAATAATTATATATTTTCTGTTTTATAAAAAATAATATATTTTCTCGAAATTGTAAAAAAATAATTATATTTTCGTCAGTTATGAAAGAATTTCTTATAAATACGTTCTTTAATTCCGAAACGATTGTTTCATTTCAAACTGTTATTGCGCTTGCAAGGCTGATCTATCTAAACAAGAGTGCAAACATGTCGCAATTGTGTGTATTTGTGTCAATGAAGAATGTACCGTACTACATCCACAACTGACCAGCCAATAATATAGAATAAATCTTATATAGTGATTGAATACTTCCAATCCGCAAAACACAAAAAATAAGGGTGCACTACAAACAGTTCAGTTTCACAAAGAATAGATGCTTCGGACAAATGCTGCTCAGTAGATGAAATTGGACACGTACAAAAAAAAATTCTGTCGCTAAAGTATCCATTTGCGAAATATTTACAAACTGAAAAATTAGCTCAATCGGAAAGAGCTTTTCACAAGCAAGAAAAAGAGAAGCATCTGGAAGAATTGCGTTTTGTATGTAAAGAATTATAAAAATTCCAAACTAGTGATACCTAGTGATACATATCACAGTTATGAATGACTTTCACAAGACAAAAGGTTTAAAATAATTTAAAAAAAAATTGAGTATAATACCTATCCTGAAAAGCTTCAAAACTCGTATAAAAATATTCAAGTGACGAAAAACGAATGGGTTCAAATTTGTATAAAGTCGGAAAGTCAATCGGGTTCAATGATTTAAGCCAAAGGTCTAAACGAATAAGGTGTTAATCAAAACGAGGAAACAAAATTTTAAAGAACTTGCCAATTCAATTTAAAAATAATAAGTTTCACGAAAGAATTATTGCAGATATGGCTCATGGTCTGCAAACTGAGATTATCGCGAGAAATTATTTTTGCATAATACTGCATGGATTAAAAGTGCAAAATCAAATTTCAGTTTGTCAGAAATAAGTTTGGGTTTGGATAGATTTTTTGGGGGTGTGGGAGTGCAGGGGAAAGGGAGGCCCTTCTTCACCTACTTCTAAATTTTTTTTATACTAGGTATATGTACACGGAGAGAAAAATCAAATTATTTTTACGTGATAATTTTTTCACCTTAAATTTCTATCTATTTCTCATGTTATTATCCTGTGAATTGAAGTATTTTTAACGTGTTTGACAGCTATCTTATACTAATACGCTTGTCCTAGGATTATTACTCGAAATAAATCTTTATTTAATAACAACGCCACTATAAAAACAGCAGACGCTCTGCCTCTTTAAATTTACATGCGACCCACCGGATTTTACCGTGTCGCTCATATAAAGTCTCAGCGGCCTAATACGTATTTTTACTAAACGCCCACCGAAAAATGTCGTGGGTCAATAGTAACTGTAAGACAGCTGAATGACACGCATTGGTGACGACGCTAGTAACTAAATCAGGTGGCGACGTTAGTAACTAAAACTTGGTAATCGTATGATAATACATATATCTATAAGGCTTTTCTAATAAAAACAGTATCCACCTTCTAAAAGCATGAATTTTGTAGGATAAGAAGTTGAATTATATAAATTTACGATAAGCTAGTTTCATCACTCATCAAGCCCACAGTTCAGTGGGATGTTTCATATACGTTCCCTATAATAAGATAATTTTTTTAATAGATTACAAACGGGATGAGGACAAACTGATGGACATTGAGATGAACTCAATAGGAACCACTAATAATCCCCAGGAGCATTCACTGTCAGTGAACTCGTTTGCTCGTCCGAGGGACGAGAGAAGATGGATAATAATGGAAGATGGATAATAATTAATATTATTGTAAATATAACATGAGAAAAGTATAAGGTATTTATAATACAGGTTCACATAGTATTACGACTTGATTTTTCTCTCCGTGTAGATATACAAGAATTATTTCAAAACTCTCATTTATTTCAAATTTTGCGCATTTTTACATTACTGCGCATGCTCTCTTTGATGCTCATGTATGTACTTGTACCTTGTACCCTGCCAATATAGCATATTTCTTAACCCGAAAATTGTCACTTTTAGTAGTACCATCCTGACCTTCCTTTCAACACCGTTAGTCCGTTTTGATGTTCAAGAATGGACACGTACGTGTGGATATTTTTCCTTCGCCTGAGCAACGAATGGTGCCTGATGATATCACGCGTGTCGTCGAGTCCGTTCCGCATAACATAGATTGTTTGCAGTTTAGGACACTGTTCGAGAATTGCGAAACTAGACATATAATACAAGTATATTTGTCTTAAGTTTTTACACAGTGTCAGTTCTTCATAGACATCGTAATTGAAAATCATATCGGAATTTCTCAAATTGACTTCTTCTAAGCATTGACAGGAGAAAAACAAGCTATGCAAGCTATGCTTATCGATTGTGCAATATTTCTTTACGTTGATTACGTCATTCCTGTAACAAAAGTCATATTATTATGCGGTTTTTCAATCGTAATAAGAAAAACAACATAACCGTTTCATGATGTTTGCAAGAAATGTAAATACACATTTTGATAAAGAATAATATGTGTTTTAAAAGAAAATGTAGCACACACGTACTTATCCATCATTGTCAGTTTTCGTAAATTCTTGCATTCAGCGAGAGCATGAATACCTCGTGATGTAATAATACTGTACCAGCCCGATAAATCTATTATTTCTAAATCGCCCCCCCGGACCCCCCTCGTTGGGAGAAATAACCCCCCGCAAGTCCTTCTTTAAGGGCTCGGAGGGGCTTCGCCCCCCCTCAGTCCCTACAAGTTCTTTTTTGAACTTTAGACGCACTTGTGATATAAAATAGTGCGTGTAACACGTGCTTCGGCTCGTGCGTCACTCTGCACCCGTGTCCAATTCTCAACTTCCCGCACTTGTTACACAAATAACTATTTATCATAACAGAAGGATGAATCCTTAGAGTATTCTTTTTTTAAATTTTGTAAGTTCAAACATTTGAAGAGAAAAGGATCCTGTATTAAATTATTGAGGCGTTTATTTACTTTGCTCATACGGCAAAACGACCTCATATCCAAGTATTTTATAGTATACTAGTATTTTATAGTATTCTCTTCTCCTCAAACTCACTCATTAATTAGGACCACCTTTGACATTCTTTCTCCTCAAACTCTAACCTACATCTCTTTGAATTCTTTTTTAAAAAATAAAAAATAATAGATAATATTATAGATGCAGATTATCATATTGTCAAATATTTCAAAAATGTATATATATATATATATATATATATATATATATGTATATATATATATGATTCCTTATATTAAAGTTTTTAAATTTTATTTTTACTCGCGCCTCGCGCGTTTTCACCCTCCGTTGACCCGCCATTATTAACTCTCTTTCATTTTCTTCCATTTTATTTTTTCTTTTCGAAATCATCAAAAAATTAGAAAAATTTTGGCACCGGTTTCAAGAAAATCAATTCTTAATGAAAAATTATCCATTAACCCTCCGTAGTCACACCGGGTCAATTTGACCCTCAACTTTGCTCGTAAATATCTTGCGCATAACTTGAAAATTCGCGGGCGTGACGCCCTCTAGCTGTAGTTTAAAAAAAATTTTTTTTTTAAACAAATTTTTCGCGAATTTTTTTTATATGTTAAAAATTCCTGAGGCCCTTCTTTTTTATAGCAATTAATTTAGCAATATCGCAAGTGCATTCGAGAATTTTTTCAACACGATCGGTGGATAAATGGTCAAATGGCGAACGGTCAAAGTTCGTCTCGGGTCAAAATGACCCAGAGTGACTTCCTTGTTTGAAAAAATAGGTGTGACTACGGAGGGTTAATAAAAAATTAAACTTATCCTCCAAAAATTAAAAAAATTTTGACACACTTGACTCCTATTTCATATATAATTCTTTAAGATTTGGTCAATTAATTTCCGAAAAATTGGAAAAATTTTGTAACCGGTTCCCAAAAAAATCAGTAACAAAAAATTATACACTTTATAGCAATCCCCGGGAAATTTTACCTCTATTTCATATGTAATTCTTTAAGATTCGGTCAATTAATTCCCGAAAAATTGAAAAAATTTCGTAACCGGTTTCCCAAAAGATCGGTAACAAAAAATTATACACTTTATGGCAATCCCCGGGAAATTCTACCCCTGTTTCATATACAATTCTTTGAGATTCGGTCAGTTATTTCCCGAAAAATTTGAAAAATTAAAAAAACCGGTTCCAGAAAATCGGTAACGAAAAACTATACACTTTATGGCACTCCCCGGGAAATTCTACCCCTATTTTATGTACCCTTGGTAAAAATTCGGTCCACTAACGAATGAGTAGTTCGCGGTCAGACATACATACAGACGACGGTACTTATATATATAGATAAATTTAATCAGGTAATTCACGCGTGCGTATCACATTTAAATTCCCTAAGAAGTTACAACTCGTAATGGATTATGAAACTTTGTTACGCATATAAATCTGCAAGAAGTGAAACTATATCTTATCCACTATGTGAGATACGTGTGAAGAACATATCAGCATACTAATGCGCGTTAATATAACGCATGCACTATTCTGATAAAAGATGTTACGGCGGCGCAACGCATAACCATTTCAGACTACTCTCATTATTACTATTATTACTATTCCTTTAATTTCATTTTGGAGAAGAGAAACTAATTTAGCTATATTTTATGCGATATGATCGCGCACTATTGCTACTTTAACTGTTGTTGTAGAAAACAGAGTTTTCACTTTTATTTTATATTATCACAAAAAAACACAACCGTCGCTATTTTTATTTAAATGGAGAATGCTCCATATTAAAGATAATAAGTACAAGGGATTTTACGTGTGAATAGTTTCCGTCAGAGCCTTCTCTTTCTTGGATAAAAAGAAACAATCGATTTTTTTAAGTATGCGAAAACCAGCCAAAATAAGAGCGCGCGTCACAAATCAGACAAGCAGAAAACTTGTCTCGAATGAAACGCATTGTATAATCGTCGAGATTTTATTTTTCCAGACAAGAACACAAAGAAAGACTTTACGCCACTTCTGTCCGTTAATTTCCAAAAGACCTCGGTGTCAACTTTATGCGAGCCATAAAACGATGCACTCGGTACTCTTCCGCGCCTATGACTCGTTCAAGGTGGAATACTGGACATGGCAGCTGATAAGATAAACCAGATGCAATGGGCAAACATCGAATAAAAATACTTTCGGAAGGACGAGGGATGAAGGAGGAACAATTTTGAGAATGATTCATGCTCGTAAAGCAGAACTCGTGAACTTGTACTAGTTGCAATGTATAACTGTATACGCATATTTGTGTGTGTGAGCAAGATGCAGTTATGCCGACTCGATATATCTATTTATATTGGAAGAGAGAAAAAAATACTTTTACGCGCGCTCCGGTTTATTGCGCCCTTAGTAATATACGTGTGCGTTCAATAAAATTGCTGCTAGCACAGAAATATCGTGGATAAGGCCGGATAACGTCGGCAGACGCAGAACGGCGAACGGAAGGCATAAAAATTTTTTCGCGGGACCAGCAAGGATATTATCTTTATAGCAGCGTTATTTTCCCTCCTTTATAGTGAGAGTCACCACTGGGATTTGGAGTTGCGCGACCAATAACACACCCGTTGGATTTATAATTAAAATTTTATTAAAATTCCATATGAACAAGGGTAGGGTTCAGGATGATGGCGGAATGATCCAGGTGAGAATCCGGAAATTTGTTGTTCGATGAAGTACACAAAGAAAAGACAAATGTGGAAAATGGGGAGATTTGACCGATCCTGCGCGGAGTGCTGGAGAGACCTGGTTGATCCGCGCGCACGTCCCTTTTTTTAGATCTCGCTCTCCCCCGCTCGGTGGGCCTGATGGTTCACGCGTGGAGAACGGCGATTAAGTGAAGTGTCGAAATCGGCGATTGGAGACTTGCGTGCAAAATTTTTTGTCTTCCTTTGAATTACGGTCTTTCCTTCGCATTAGGTCGATTTACGAGGGAAGTAGGGGATGTGTGTGTGTGGTTTTTTTTTTGCTTCCAGGGCTGCGTCGTCGTGACTCGGTGGTGGTGGTGAGTTTACGCTGGCTCTCTCAGTCTAACCATGCAGGGCGAGACCACCGTGTCCGGCCAAGACGGTCCTGGTGACGATAGCGGGGGTATGGACGGCGGGAGCGATGGGCTGGGCGATCACTGCGGCATGGCCAACGGACAGCGCCGGGGCGGCGGCAACGACCTGCGGGGAGACGATCGGGCCGACGCCGTGGCTAATCGCAACACCGGTGAGACCACCGGGATAGGCGAAGGCGACCGCCAGGATGGCAGCGAAGACAGCCTATGAAGAAGATTGTAAGATGGGCTTAGAGAGACTCTTGCACTTTGTTCTCTTTAACAGTCTTTCAGTCCGTCCGAAAGTTATCCTAGCTTGCATAACGTGTCTTCCCATTGGTGTCTCGGTTTCTTATATATGTTCCGTCGAAAGTTCACCGCGAGGAAATAGACAATGAGGCTAATTAAAATTACGCAATCGCTACAAATTACATCATCTCGATCTAGCGCGAACTATTTTTATAATCGTCCTATCGTCCCAGTCGTCGGCAGAACGAGATAAGATTAGATCAGCGCGTCCGTTAGTCCGGTCGATCGATTAAAAACGGAGCGCGTGCGATCCTTCTGCAAGAAATCGCGAGAGAACACGAAATCGATCGGTGGAATTGCAATTAAAAATGCAACAAGCGAACTGCATTCCGCTTTGACGGTGGCGGCTGCAGCGGCGGCGACGGTACCACCACTGCTGACTAACAATGTGCATGCTTCAGTGATTTCGTTCGCATAAGATTTCCGCGGGAAAGAGAGGTCGGGTTGAGTTGCCGGTTGCGTCGTCGAGACCGGTGAACGGCGTAAGGGCGAGTTCGTCGTCGTGTCGTGTCGTGCATATACCGCTCGCATGCCAAAGCGGAAAGGTCACAGCAAACGCGAAAGGGAGGAGAAGGAGGAAGAGGAGAGGCCGAGGGGGATCTTTTTTTTCTCGCGATTACATATATGCACACCGTGGGATAGCCGCCCGTCTCTTTATCGATCACACGGGAGACGCGAGAGTGACGACGACGACGAAAGGAGTCCCCGTCGGCGGTGTATTAGAGGCACTGTTTACCCGGGATGTACAAACGCGTCATTCCGAACCGGCGAAAAGGAAATCTCGACTCGGAGCTGGATGGATAACGGCGCGCTTTCGGCGTTAAAGCGTAACATCTTTTAGCGTGTATCTCTCTCTCTCATTCTTCGGCGGATCCTCGCTCGGTATCGTAATGATTCCTTTTACGGATCGACGGACAACACAGTCGAGAATTGTGTTTGCGATCGCACCCGATCGAAGCCGAGGGATGGAGTAATCGCGACGAGACGCCTCCGTTAAAATCAGTCAGCGGAAATATTGTCGCGTTCCCTGTTTGCGGAGAATTTACGTTTCGGAAAATCGATCGGCGTTCTATTGTATTCCATTGTGCGTATTCTTTATAGCGTTTACGGTTTCATCGATCACTTAGTCAATACGTTGGAGCTGACGGAAACGCGACGGAAACGCGTCGACAAACAAAGCGGAAACGATCGTCACCCGTTCCGTTTCGAGCGTCTTTATAATTGTAATCGAGGAAAGAAAAGAAGTTGTAAAAAAAACTATAGAGAGATTATAATTAGATGAATCGTTTTAGCTTACCAGCTTGAACATGTTGATTGGTTGTGGGATTGCTTGGTACTTCTCGGAAGTAAGTCAGCTTATGTCTCTTTCGGCGACTCGGGAGCCTTATATACCGCGCGGGATTTTTAAAAAACGCCATGAAATTGATCACGTGACCCCGTATCTGCATGACGATATCTGCCGGATAGTTAAATCAGCCGATCACTGGGCATGGTGGGGTGGCCGCGTGAACCAATCGTCTCCGCGTTACCAGCCCGATCGTCCCACCGATTCGCCAATAATGCGCTTTCAACCCCTCGCGTCGATTGCGAGAATTGGGTTAAGACACTCCGTGTTGTAAGGTATCGGTACGCAGGCACAGAACCGATACCTGGCACGACGATACACGCGCAACGGCGCGAGTGTGTGAATGTGTGGGGTAAGTGCGGTTTACTTATGTACACGGGAGAAAAATTGCGACCGGGTGTCCGCCGTCGGATGCAAATTTCTCTCGTAAAGACGGCAGCCAAGGTCTAAAACCCGTGACCTTCTTCTCTTCTACTTTTTCATACGAGATACGTCTACGAGAGCATTTATGGATCCCGATTATCAAGTCCCGAAATGGAGCTTAGCAACGAACTTCGTTCCCCGCATCCAGGTATTTTTGCGAGGAGCGAGGAATCTATTCGGTAAAAACTTTGCGAGTCAAAAACTTTGAAACCACGATGCAATGCTACTGCATTTTAATTAGAGAATTGTAGTCGGGTGTCAGCTAAGTGCCATGTTATAAAATTTCTTTTCCTTGCGGAAACATTTCGCAAGACTATCGTGTACCAAGACTAAGGTATTAACAGGATGACTGTGGGCGAGTGCTTTGCTAAGTAATTATATGAAATATTTGATGCCATGGCATCTTCCTAGGTAATTATATATGCTTTGGGAGTCATAAAGCACTCTTTTATCGGAATAAATAAAATTTATATACATATATCTGTATCTTGGAGGTAAAGAATCGTATCTCCAGTTTTGGTCAAGATTAGAGTTGATACTTTTTCCAATATACCAGGAGTTTAAATTGTATAATGGTAAAGAGTCTTATGTCAATTTATTACTAGTTCCTAAGATACATTGTTGAGAAAAAGTGGTATTGGAAATTGTCATAGAAATAACAAACTTTAAGTCCTGTTTTCTCTCTAATAACAGAGAGATACGATTTTTTATTTCTAAGGTAGACATATAAACATACAATATCTTTGCAGATATAAAACTTAAAATGTCTTTTTGGTAACTCAGAATATCATTTATAGAGCACTTGTTAGCTAATATTTGATACAATGTTGAGAAAAAGTTGTATTAGAAATTTTCATAGAAATAATAAACTTAAACCTGTTTTCCCTAAATTTCTAATAACGGAGATACGATTCTTTACTTCTAAGATATATCATTTCTAGAACACTTGTTAGCTAATCTTTGACTTGTATCATACGTTCGGTATAGATACAAACGTATATACTTCATATCAACTGTTATGATTAAATATTGGGATTATTCTGGCATCGAAATGATACGGGTCTTGATCGAATTTTGCAATCTACCCAGTCGTCATTCTTTTCGAATTAAGTATTATTTATTCTCATCGCGCTTAAAACCTACGGTTGGAAGTTCGATGCGACGATCGGGGCAATCACGGAGATTAGAATAGTTCCTGTCATTCGCGAAGCGAGAGTCTGAAATTAGGAGAAGAGCAATTTAATCAGCGCGACACGCACACACACATAGCGGCGGCGGATCCCAACCGCGGTGAGAGTCTCCAGGGATTTCCCGTCCCGAGCACGAGATCAAACTTTTATCAATGGGGGAGCTATTGCGTAAATTAATATCGGGTTGGATAACTCGGCGCGATATTATGACTCGGATTACGATCGTCGCGAAACGCATGGTAGCATAACAAGTGCGATCAAATATCCCGGGTCAAGTCGGGACTCGTGATAGTCCTCGGCGCGATAGTCTCCTCGAGTGGGTGTGCGTGTGGGCGCGGTGCGGTGCGAAACGATATACACAAAGGCCGAATGCATTTATTTATCAAACATCGGTCGTTAATGTCCTAGGTAAATCACGAGCAACGGTGAAATCATCCTCCTCAATCTCGCATTGATTCCGATAGCGGTTAAGCGCTGGAGATGGAGTTAATCATCCGTAGCGAGAGAACCTTGTGCGTGCAAGTATGCGTTTTAGATGCGGCAATATCTCACAAGTACAAACGCACGTACGCTCGTACAAGAGATCGTAACGGAAATAAGATCCCGCTAAATTTTCAGCGTTTCGGAGCTCCGCTTTTATCCGACTTATTGAAAGTTTCAATAAGGAGACCAGTGAAAATAACGCTGCTCCGCAAATGGAATATTTTCTCTCATCCGTGAAATTTATTTCGCTGGATAAACGCGCTCGTGTAATTTAGGATTCGCATTGTTGTTCGCGGAAAAACTGCAGCACTGACACTGCAAGTTTGATGCAAGATCCGAGTCGACGCGCGATGTCCTCTTGGACTTTCTGTCGGGCACAGGCTTGCACAGAGGGTTCCCCTGCCGTTTCTCGTCGCAAGAGGCGTATGGGACAGGAGGAAGATATATTTTCAGCGTTCTTGGCTGCAGTCGATCCAGTGACAAGAGGCCAGAAGATGCATTTGCGCACGTGGTAGGCGAAAAGACAATTCCCCGAGTTTGGCACGGTCTCCCTCGCCAAGCAATTCACGGAAGATCGATCGCTTCCGAAGATCCTATAAAACCATTCCTCGGATTCGGTGCAGTGGAAGTCCCATCTCTCTTGTCCTCTAATGCGAAACTGATAGCAGGTTACCTTCCTCCAAAAATTCGAATACGTCTTAATAAGTTTCACTCCAACTTATTCCAGCCGACTTTCTTCGTTATTCGATTGGAGATAATTTTTTTTACACCGTGGGAGCTTTTAACTCCGATCTTTTGCATGCACGAGCACCATTCAATCGAGCAGGCGTATCTTTATGACATCGTGCGAATAGATAGTAATAATTTTTGCCGTGAACAAGATATACGAAGACTACATTTCATTCTCACATAAAACAGAAGTGTCACGTAAGGAGCCGCGCGCGTATCGTTTACGTATAAATGTCAATTTATGTAAAGGCGCGTATGATTTTCATATGGAATAAGCCTCGATGTGAAAACTATAAGCGCTAGCGACAGTTAATAAACCTTCACGTAATGACGATAATGCTAATAATGCGGTACGTGTTACGATATATCACGCGACACGCTTAAACGCATTGTTCCACCTATTAATATCGCATTATATATTACAAGATAAATTTTCGAGTGTGGGTATAACGTGCGGCCATTACCACAATCGATATACCATAATGGAAACATGTCGATAATGTGTGCGTTACACCGCAGTCTATAATTATTGTCCGTGAGCGCATTGCATTGCTGATGAGAAATAAATATGTCACGGTAGAACCCGTTACGGAACTGCCGCCATGCCGCAAGAAAAGCGTTAGATTTCATCAGACATAAGGACACAGATTTGTACATATATTTTCAGTAACCTTACTTTAAGCCAATATAAAAAAAAAATAACGCAAGAATTCATCAATATCTTACAAGCTGCCTAGATAATTATATGTAATTTGCCGCTTTTATTTATCTGGTTCGTGTAACAGGTTTGCCTGTAAAAACTCGGAACTTGTCAAATAACTCATTCCGGTGAATATCGTTACGACGGCACACGCGTGACCACTTATTTATTAAATTTAAGGCAACCTTAATCTCGCTTTCAATGTCCGATATATTTTAGAAATAAAAAGATCGAACGTACACACACACACACACACACACACACACACACACACACACACACACATCGCCTTTGAATTAACATACGCAACACAACTCGGTCTGCGCGCGTCTGCGTCGAGTGGGGTATGTGTTAAAGCACCTTCCCACGTGTGCGCTACATCCACCACACGCTGTCCCTGTGCGCGGATATAAAAAGCGGACGAGTAGCACGTACCTGTCCAGGGAGACCGCGACCAGGCTGTAGACGGAGGCTGCCACGGAGACGCCCTGTATATAAGCGACCGCTTTGCACATGAACCATCCCAGGATCCACGCTGAAACACAAGTCCGTAATTTATCGTTTCGAGTATCACTCGTAGAAACTTCGGGCGGCTGCCTCGACGAGTAGCGGTCGAAGGGCTTTTTAGGGACTACTACTGGCGGGAGAGCGGCCGACTTACGAGGGCCGAACTTACTCAACAGCGAGGAACAAACGCTAAGTCTAAGGGCACTCGACGGAGATACTAATTGTACCGTATTACCAATGCGAACCAAAAAGGACGCGAATAAGTTGTAAAAATCGCGAGTTCTTTTATAATGTACAATCTTACGTAGCATTAACTAGCTTTTGGAAAAATTGGGATACGACTCTATTCGTACACTGAGAAAAAAATTTGTTAATCTCAAAAAATATTTAGTCCGATTCGAGCAACTAAATATTTTAGATAGTTTAACTAAACATTAGTTAAATTAATTAATTCTTGATTAAAAAATTAAGGTTGACATGAATGCATCATACCTTTTTTAGTGCAACTTAATAATTGTCGAAACAACTAATGTTTAGTTAACTAACTAACATGTTTAGTTGCTCGTATCGGACTAAATATTTTTTGGGATTAATAAATTTTTTTCTCAGTGTAATTTTCGATAATTTGTACGAAATTATAATTAACGAAAGTTTGCAGCTCATCAGTACATCAAAACAGATTATCTAAAGACACTTTAGGTTGTCTCGACGACGCGAATAACAGAGCAGAGAAAAAGTATTATTTATAGTTAAAATTAATTAATACTAATTAATGCTCGATTGCGTGGTCAGCGTGAGAAAAGTTCACGTTGTTTTATTATATCCCTGTTGTAACAAAAATAAAATAATTTGGTAGAAGTCTCGTTATTTTCGAGCGAAATAATGTCTGAATGATAGCATCGCGTGGTAGTTACATTATAAATCCGAGTGACCCATTTTTGCGGAAAAAAGCGGGCGACATAAGCGTGTATCAATTTTATTGTCCGTCACTTTTCTATACGTGCACAATAACTATTATATTCGTTTTCAAGAAGAATGTAATTAATCCCGCTCCCGAAAATGAGGGGAAGCTTAGAACAAGGGAATTTTCAACTACAGCCATCCATCATCGTCCCCGATTGATGGTACGGTAAATAATTATCTCACATAATACAATATTGAAAGCATTTGGTAGTATAATATGATCGATGGGAAAGTTTATCGTGTTCTTCAGAATAATAGGACTATACAGAGTGACGGGAAGGGGTAGATAGGTCCATCAAAAGAATGGTCGCTCATAAATATCGAGCATCCACCTATCGTGGTAGCATCGCATCAAGATACAAACGCAAAGCGCGAACGAGAGTTACAGTTAATCTCTATTTTCGCGACTGACTCCATCCCGATCGTTTGCCCCGCGATTGTCACGGTGCCGAGTATCCTCGCGAAGAAATCCTACAATTTCCGAAGAGTCATACCGTAAATTCTAGCGGTTATAAAATAGAACGCTCTCATGCGTGATGCACGACGCCGCGCCGCCGATAATGAATAGCAACGCGCGATCATCGGGCGCAAGTTTCAGCGGAGTATTAAGGGTTGGGGTGTACCCAAGGGGATGTTGAAACGCCTGTTTATCGAATTCGATCGATGTCCCGCTTACTCTAATCGCGTGACGATACGTTCAAGCTGAGCAGCGGACACGGTTCGGCCGTGGAGTATTGTGCGCGAAGTGAATGGTGGTACACACAAGGTCGCGTAGAAGGGAACCCTCCCGTCTGCACCGCAGATCGCGGCCGTTAAGCCGATAATTATTTATTCCGTCGAATACATAATTTCTCGATAAAGCGAGTCCGACTATCGCGCTGCATTAATGCATCCACTCATGGAGAGATAATAGACAATGCGAATTGCACCGGGGATATAACGTTAATGCTCGCGGCGGGAAATAGGCATCGACGGTTAATTTCTGTAAACTAAGCCTCAAGAATATAAACGAGCGGAGAAATGATAATCATCGTTCCCTATTAATACGAGTCAACTCCAACAAGATTTTCATTCGACGCCTAGACGCTTAATGCTAGTTTTTATAAAATTACAAAAGAGCATCCAGATGTATGTTAAAGTGAATTTTCCTTTCCATATCCCACCGTTTAATGAAAGTTCTACATTTTATTCCACAGAAGCAATTAATCTCTCGGACGCGCAAAAAGAACCTTTTTTTATAATATTGAATCAAATATAATATCGGAGATCCCTCGAAGATTCGTCGAATGCACATGAGAGTTTAAATAAAATTATCCCGCGTCTAAACTTCTCGTAAAAAAAGATGACGATAGATTGGCAATGGAACAAAAATTAAAGAGACCTCGAAAAGTTTGAAATCCAATTTGGCAATTCGATTCTCGGACCCCAAAGCTCGGAAATTCGCTTTCGTTGAATGCTAGTTCCGTTTGATTCTTCCCATCCTTGATAGAGTTGTAACTTCCGGTTATATAATTTTGGCGAGGGAGATCCCCTCGTACACCCGCGTCGAAACTTACCCGTCGAAAATACCGTGATCATTGTCGCGCCAATACGTACGCGCGTCACGAATGACGGAAGTTAGATTTCGCGTCGCACAGAGGAAACTTTCGCGCAAAATCCACTTCTTTCGCGAAGAAAGGACTTCCCCTTACATTCGGACACGCCGACCGACGGGACTTCCGATAGGACATTCAGAAAGTTTTTCGCTGAATAACGCGCGCGAGCGTGTACGTGACTTGTGCCGGGACTTGTGCGAGTTTCCGGACCGTTTCGGAATGGAGTCTGATGTGCGAGCGAGCGTGCGGGCCACCCCCGATTCGAGATAAAATCAATGTCTTTGTTTCTTCGCTTTTAGAACTTATCGCTCCGATCTTTTCTCGCGCGGGAAAAGTTGTATCCACCACCGGTGGATAGATATATATAGCGAGAGCAGTATATTTGGACCGCGAGATACTAGAGTTCATTAGGGTGGCTGATACGGCTGATACATCGGCGTGAATAACTTATGACGAGATGGAAAAAAAATAGCCTCGTACTACATACAGCCGTTTATTGGTCGTCCGTAGGCATGTAATTACATAATCGTTCCGCGGCTCAGTATTTTCCCTTCTGTTCCACGGCGAAAGAAATGTCGATTGCGCCACTTTACAAAGGCTAACGCACGTAGAACCAGTTTCATAACTCCAATGCAACGTGCAATAACGATTGATAATAATGATAAACGCTCGGCCAACTCCGTGGAAAGCGATTCGAGCACGTGTATTATTTTTATTTATATTCCCTCCCGCAGGGATATTTCTTAATAGAGAGACAAGGGCGCTGATAAGGCTTACTGGTAATGCAACTACTTGCTATTTTTCACAATTTAAATTAATGTCTTTGTCGTGTATCGACGAACTTGAAAATATACGAAAAGTCTTATTGGTCAATTGCATCAAGTGTCATTAGCACACTCATTAGTCGCGTTTTCTCTTTCCCCCTTTCGTCTAGCCGTCAATAATAGTATGTAATTTTCTAATCAAAGCTGTCATTTATATTTTGCAGTAGTTAGTAGTTAGTCATGGGTATTATATCAGAGTGAAAATTGAGGCAATAACTGGGAAATGGCCTTGGCCCATTTTCCGCTCAGATCCACCGTCTCTTTGTGCGCCAAAATGTTTTATTCCATTGTTTTGATGGAGTTGCACGTCAACTTTTTTTTACAAAATTCATATCTTTAATACAGATATTATAGTAGTGCACCGTTTGAAACAGCAAGCGAGAACGTTCGGAAAGTGAACGTAAATGCATTTTTATCTAATGTTGAATAATAGAACTATTATCACAAAATAAAGGCCAATTCGTCATTTTATCGAACTCGTAATTTCGAATAACCCCTGTCAAGTACACTCATCAAATTTATAACTGAACGGAATATCTCCTGACAACTTTCTTTTTAGTACACTTTTCTTTGCAAGCGAACCCTTTTTATGGCTATCATCTCAATTGAAGTCTATTGCGCGCGGTGTACGAAAAACGTTCTAAAGTGATAGAAGTCGGAGTTAATCTCAGAAACGCGCAATGTCGTGCGTTAACGACGCTTTTTCCCCGGCGGCCTTCGGCGGGAAGAAAAAATCATCGCTTTTAATTGTCCACCGTGGATAACAAGGTCCGATGTCCGAGTGATCGATCGGTGGTAGCAAATTTAATCGCAAAGTCACGTTCGCGATTTTAAATGTCAAATTTTTACAATCACCTCACTCGAGCGCGAGCGTACGTATATAGATGCAATATATGTATATACGCGTGCAATGCCGTCTCTGCATATTACTTTCACTGTCTACGCTCGATTAGATAAGCCGCTGGCAAGGTAGGTATAATCTACGCACCGGCGGCAAGCGTGGTTGTGACCCGCGCACGACTCCACCACAGCGCACGCCACACCGCACCACGGTACACTATCGGATTAGCGTGAACGGGAGGAGTATAGCCTACGGTTTTGCAGCTTTTTAGCAGACCCAGAAGTGTAGCATTACCGTAACGCGATCTAATTTTACAGGGACGGAACAGTTAAATGGCAAAAGAGCGACGTTGAGTATCGATTAACTAAAAATGAATTACAGTCGCTTTTTGGACGCTTCCCGAATACGTCCGCGTCTCATTAACTCGATTACTGTTACGAAGGACATGTGTCGTAAAAACGTTTCCAGGAACAAGAGGATGTATCCAGAAGACATTTTCGTAATAATTTTTTTTGGAGCGCGCTAAAATCTCTGAGAACTTATATTGAAGATATATATATACACGGCTGTATATATCACGACTGTGAATGAGAATGTCAAGTTAATAGTTTTTACTAACTTCGACGGTGGATTTTATTTCACGGTTTTTAGATTGGAGCCGGGCCAACTTAGGTTAAGGGCCAGATCGTAGATTAAGTTAAGACCGGAGTCGTCGAAAAGTCTTTTGAAATTTTTCTTCTTCATCAAAAAGAAGTTGTTAAAGGAGCTTACTGAAAGTAGCTTACTAAAAACGCACAAAAGACCA